CTCCGGGCACAAACCTGCCCTCCCCATGCCCCTTCATCTCCCTTCCAGCTCTCCTAAGGGACTCTGCCAACACCGCTGCCTTCAGCCACCAAGGGGGGCACAGGAGTCAGAAATTGGCAGGAGGCCCCCTCCATCCTCCTTTCCCCGCTTCCTCGCCCCACCTGCTCGCCTTCCTCCCCCCCCCAACTGCCATCCTGGGGCCCCAGCAGCTGCCGCCTCACTAAACCCTCGTACCTTTCTCGCCACTCTCCCTGTGTGCTGCTGCAAGGCGAGGGGTGAGGTTACTGCTGCTTCTCTGCCATGCCCCACCGCATTGGGGTAGCCACCTGCCCCATGGGGCTGGGTGTGCGGGACCCCATGATGGTGCCCGTTTGCCTTTCTGGGGGCTGTGGTTTTGCTGCTAAGAACAGAAGGCTCCCTCTCTGCTCTGGTACCCCCTGCCTGCAGTGTGGTATAACTGCACTGCATGATCCGCAGGCCATTTGCCTCTCCTTTCCTCCTCCCTTGCTGGGCACCACGGCTTCCGAGCGTAACTATTTATTACACAGGGGAGGCTCTCGAGGGCTGGGTGAGTCTGGGAGGCTGAGAGGGGGTGTTGAGCCATCTCCATCCTGCCCCAGGCGCCGTGGCTCTGGGGAGGCTGGGTCAGGCCTGGAATATTCCTTTTAGAATCAACTCACTTGTGTGTCTGGTTTTTAAGGAAAAATAAAAAAAAACCACAACCAAAACAACCAGTGCTAATAATAATAGTAGTAGTAAAAATGTAATGGGGGGCAGCGCTGTCTCCCAACTGTGTCCACCAGGGCCTGCCCAGCAACAAACACTCTCTGCCTCTCCAGTGACTCCTGCGAGCCCCTGGCCAAAATAAAGCCACTGTACTTCTAGTGTGTCGGGTTATTAAAGGGGAATGTTAGCGCACTCAATTGGCCCCTTGCCTCTCTCTCTCTTGTGTTCTGCTTCCTTCTGCCCTGGTGAGCGGGAGGGGAAAGTGACGTCCAGTGTCCATAGGAACGCCTTGCATAGGATGCAGTTTTCTTCAGCCCCCCATGTGCCATCCGCTGAGACAAGCAGATCCTGTGTGTTTCTTGCATTGCTGGAAACAAGATGATCCAAGGAAGGAAGGGTGGGGGGAAGAGTTGGACGTGTGTGCCGAAGAGGGGCTATAGAAACAATACCTTTTGTGAAAACCTTACCTCCCCACCTCATTTTATTACTTTGAAGACTTGGTTCAGTTCTGCATTAGGACACCTTCAAAAATTCAAAGCAAATCAAGGCTTGGGTCTCTATGAGCGAGATTCAGGGTGATGCCTTATTGTGTCAGTCTGCTTAGGCAACAGCCATTCTGCCAGCAAGAGCCTTGCTCTTGGCATTGCGCAACAGCCAAATCCAAATGTCCCAGGAAAGATGTGTGATTCCTAGTGCAAACACTTCTACTCTGACAGTTAAGCTTTGTGTGGTATGTCTTGCGCTGCTGCTTGCAGAACGTCAGTGCTCAAAGCTCCTTGCATTGGATCTGGCCCTCAGTTATTGCATGATACACAGCTAAGAAGTGTGTGTACGCTTTGCATTTGTCTACATAGACCGCTGTGACCACAATTCTTTGCATATTTACGCAGAAGCAAGTTTTGTATTGAGTGAGGCTTATTACATACTTAAAACTGCTTTGCTGTTAACCATTTTGCACAGTGACCATAATGTTCTCCCTGCTTCCCATTTTACAGATACGAACACTTTCCCAAGTATAGTCTAGGGATGAGTGTCGTGAAGCCTGATTTGATTCTGCTATGAGAATTTCAGATCAGCTACAGTGGTACCTCGCAAGACGAATGCCTTGCAAGACGAAAGGGTTTTTGGTTTTTTGAGTTGCTTCGCAAGATGCATTTCCCTATGGGCTTGCTTCGCAAGACGAAAACGTCTTGCAAGTTTGTTTCCTTTTTCTTAAAACCGTTAATACAGTTGCGACTTGACTTCGAGGAGCAACTCATAGAACCTTTTTTGAGGTTTTTGAAGACTTTGGTGATTTTTGAAGCTTTTCCAAAACTTTTCCGAAACCGTGCTTCGCAAGACGAAAATATCGCAAGACGACAAAACTCGCGGAACGAATTAATTTAGTCTTGCGAGGCACCACTGTACTTTGGTGCAGCTATGCAAAGTGCAGTTGCAATGTAACCACTCTTCTTGGTGCTGGTTTCAGTGAAAGATTATGAAGGAATCTGCATGTAAAAAGGAGTTCTGCTCATATTTTCTGTGGAGATTCCTGGAGTAGGTATTCTGAATTCTTGGGTGCTGTTTCCTGCACTGGGATACTTGCAAGCACTACATTTTGCTTCAACCACTCCCGTTGAAGTGTGGCTGGTATGCTTGGGACATTTTAGCAGGAACGTGCTGTGGTGAATACAACCAAAGATAAAAACATTTGGCAGTCAGGTTGATTCATTCAGAAATTGAGGACGTGAGAATTTTATTTGCAGGTAAAGGAACTGCATGTTCCCTAGTGTGTGCTATTCATTCCTGCCAATCAAATGTCTGGACAGAAATCATAAGGCACCTCCCAAGTGTTGAAACTGAATATGGCCTGAGTGTTTTGTGCAGGAATTGGAAATTTGGGGCCCAAATCTCTCCCCCCCCCTCCCAAAGAAAGAATGACAAACGGACTCTAAGCAGTTATCTTTATGCTCTTTGTATGCCTTATACTGTTAAAACATCTTGGGTGCATTTGCAAGAGCTCTAGAATGATAAGTAGCTGTGGTATTCCAGAGATGGCAACTCTGATCCCTGACCATTGACCATGCTGCCTTGGACTGATTGGGCGTGTAGCTTAGGCACCCCTTGAGAAGGCGAACATTTCTGACGTGGGCAGGCTTGGCCCTCTTCCATCCCACTTGTCCTCCCCCTGAAATCCTAGTTATTTATCAAGCCTAGTTTGTCAACTCTGGTTTGTTATTGCTTGGATATGGGGAGAAAATAGCCCCATGCTGGCCACCGGCTTTTTGGTGTTCTGTATTTTTGCCTAGCTGATCTCAGTTTCTTACGATCTTGCTGGAGACAGTTCTGGCTGACATTCCCCCCCCCCCCAATGCAGTAACACATGGACAACTGTGACAGCTGTTGTAGAAATCTCTGCATGTGTTTCTGGACATCTGCATTCACAGCATCATGACCCTCTGAGCAAGCCTGACTTGGTGACCACTGCTATGGGGACTGAATGAGGAGCTGAAATTTCACCCTAATTAATCCTTGTTTGATGACACCATTCTCTTTCCACATGATCTTTCTATTTAGGAAGTTTAGTTTTTCAGTTTGAGAGAGTTGCCATCTTTGTGATGGTTCCAAGTAATCCAGGGTTGCTATGCTGTGAAACGTGTGCCTTCTAGGAATACATTAATGGGGAGGATGTGATCTGTTCTGCTGCAATAAGTAAACACTGGCAGTGCAAGGTGGGTGATGCTGGTTTTTTGTATAAAAATTACAGCCTGCAACCTTGTTGGTTGATTCTGAAAAACTGAGTTTACAGTGCTGGTAAACTGTTTAGTAGGGAGTTGGTGTATGCTCAAGACGTGGGAATAAAAGGTGGTAAATATTTGAAGAGCCTTTGCTAGTAGGAAATCTTTTCTGCAGTAACTCTCTGGCTGACTTTCTGATCCTTGTCTTTAAATGCTGCTTTTGGAAACAACAGCAAACCACCGACCAGGTCTGACAACATGCTATTTAGGGAATAGAAACTGCAACCCTCTGGGGTCTGCCTGCTGCACTAGACTAGGTTAGATAGCACAATGAAACATCACTCATCATAATGGTTCCTGTGCATAGAATAAGCCTGTTAGAAACTTAGTGCTTTGTGGTGCTGATTTTTGTGATTACTTGAGGTCCTCTGAATTTCTCAACTTAGAATGTTGATGATTTTGTTTCAATTGATATAAGTCTCATTTTTGGTGGTAGTGTAATCTTTCATCCTATTTTCTTGGCTGTTGACTGGGAGGTAGTGAGTCTACCAATGGAACCTGGGGTCAGCAGCTAGAATTCTTGGCTGCATCTTCTTTCCCCAGTGAGCAGTCTCTCTGAATACTTCCAAGCAGTAATCTAGCCCACAGGAACGAACTGAGACATAACCAATGCACAGCACCATGCAGACTGAAAATGTTAAGAGTTCAAAGGAGCTGAGGGTGGGGAGAAGAGGGCTTATGAAAATTGGTTTCCCTAGGCTATAACCCTGAAAAAAGGATTGTTTGAGGGCTGAAATGTATGCTCAGCTCCATCTGGCACTGAAATTTCAATAGCTACTAGGCAACGTGATAATGGAACACATCTTTTATTATCAAGCTGGCCCAAATTGCAGACATTAAAAACAACAGTCTGTGGTTAAAATAATGCTCCATAAATTTTTAGGTGCTTTTTGCAGCTGCATCTCAAAAGGGAGTCTTTCTAGCTTCTTATTACCCTCCCTTTCCTTCCATTGTCATTGGTCCGCTATCCTTTTGTGCTGTGTCTTTAGGACACATGGAGGGGGGGTGTACCAGAAGGGAGGGCTTATGCATTTAGGTCCTGCTCTTCCAATAAACATCTGGCTCAACACTGTAGGAAATCGTGTTCTCGGCTGGATAGAGCCCTTTGTCTGATTTGGCAGGGCAGCTCTTAAATCATCCCTTACACCGAATATTCAGTGTGGTTAATTATACACACCAACAAAAGCATTTGTTGTGCCTGTATGTAACCTGCCACTGCTTGTGCATATCACGAATCCCTTGAATTAATTCAATGGTGTTTGATACCAAGCTTGTGCATAGGGAGCTGCCCTCAGGTTTTTTTGTCCCTCTAAAGCACTGCAATGGTACCTTGGGTTAAGTACTTAATTCGTTCTGGAGGTCTGTTCTTAACCTGAAACTGTTCTTAACCTGAAACACCACTTTAGCTAATGGGGCCTCCTGCTGCCGCCGCGCCACTGAAGCACAATTTCTGTTTTCATCCTGAAGCAAAGGTCTTAACCTGAAGCACTATTTCTGGGTTAGCGGAGTCTGTAACCTGAAGCGTATGTAACCCGAGGTACCACTGTACTGCCTACTCTGACAGCGGGTCTTCAGGTGTGGTTTGCTAGGACTTTGCTTTCGGACTTTCCCAAACAACTGCAGAAACATTTGTAGCATTTATGAAAGCCATACTTCCTTTGGATCCCAGCACACAGTTGCATAGCATGAATCACATTACAGAAATGACAAACATAACGTGTTGGTCTAGAAAAACAACACCAAAGGGATTCTGCTGGTTTACCTCCCACCTTGCTGCCCAGTCTCCCTGACAGAGCTGGTCTCAGGTGGTGTTGGGGGCTTCCAGACTGCTGGCTTTGGGGTGACTCAGGACCTAGTGGCAGTGAAGGCAGCAAAGAAGATTGCATTCTCGCAATGCCATCCAGAACTTGCCCAGGTAGTGCGAGGCCTCTTACAGCCTGGCCAGAAGGAGGTGGTGGAACAGTCACTGTGACTTGTTTGCAAAGCATTATGGAGAAAAAAATCACTTGCATCCACCAGGATCTTGACTCTGCTATTATAGCAGATTAATCTCAAGGAGTTGGCTTTGTTCTTGCTGCTCTTACTATGAATTTTTATTTTTCATCTTGTATTTTTTATGCTGTGAACTGCCCTGAGATCAGTGGATGACAGGTGGTATGCACATTTGATAAATAATAATAATGCAGGTAATTGGGGCACCCTGAGCCATGAATTCTCCATGCAGGCTAGGGCTGATGGGAACTAAAGTCCAACAACGTCTAGGCTGGGGCGTCTTAGACCCCTCGCCCTTGCAAAGCACGTTTCTGAACGGTAAAACATATTCCTTTCTTAATCTCTAGAGCCTAGACGCTTGTCCCGAGCATTTCCACGAGGCAATTCTGAGGTCTCTACACGGGAGAGGGAACAATAGATCGACCTTTTTCATTATCTGAACAGGGGATTTCCGAGTAAACACAGAAACCCACATTTAATTCCCCTCGCCTCGAAGCTATTCATTGATACCAATGCAGAGGTTAATTTTTTTTAACATCCCCCCCCTCAACTGAAAGAGGACGAATTCCTGTATGTGGCGCTATCGCCACATTGTTCCATTGTTCTGCCAGACAACCCTCACTTCCGGCCGCACTCTCCCTAAAAATAAGTAAATCTAGGGAATATTTAAATGTGGTTTCTCGATGGGAACCCGGAAAGGATACAGGAAAATAGTGAGATTGCCTTCTCTACACTTTTCTAACTCTGGCGCGATAACAGGCTCTATTAGAAAACGGCCGGCTGTGTTTGACTCTCTAGCCGTTCCCTTCCCTCTGTGTCTATGGTTCCTCCGCTGTCCGGCTTCCTCTTCCGCCCTCCCTCCGCGTGATCCTGACGCGAGAACCCCGCCCTATGACGTAAGCTCGGCCAAGGCGGAAGAAGAAGGGGAAGAAATAACAAGGACTGGAAAGGAGGGGACTGAGGCTGCTGCTGCTGCTTTCGTTGTTGCTGCTGGGTAAGGGGCTGCTTCCCTTTTTCTGGGTTATTATGGGGAGGGGGTGCCCTGTCCTTTTCCGGGAGAGGGATTGGGAAAGCCCGCAGGGCTCGGGGAGAGGGGAGCTGTGCTGATGGTGTCGGGTGTGGGGCAGCTGGTGGATTTAGGATTTAAGTGAGAGGATTGGGTGCCTTATGTGGGGCTCTTCTTCCCCACCCTCGTTTATTTCCTGTTGTATTAACATGGTATATTATAGTATAATTTTATGTAATGATGTGTGTGTGTGTGTGTGTGAGAGAGAGAGAGAGAGAGAGAGAGAGAGAGAGATTTACGATGGAATAATAATAATAATAATAATAATAATAATAATTATTATAATAATTATTATTTATACCCCTGCCTATCTTGCTGGGTTTTCCCAGCCATTCTGGGTGGCTTCCAACAAAAGATTAAAAATACATTAAAACATCAGTCATTAAAAACTTCCCTAAACAGGGCTGCCTTCAGATGCCTTTTAAATGTCAGATAGTTGTTTATTTCATTGACATCTGATGGGAGGGTATTCCACAGGGTGGGCGCCACTACCGAGAAGACCCTCGATATAACTTTTCTGGTTGTCCCAGAGTCACACAAAGTAAAATTTAGCAGATGCCCCTCCTTTCAGGCCGGTAAATCTCACCACATTATCCCATGAGTTGACATTTAGTAATTATTTTACAGTGCTGCCCTTTCCCTTTTTACTCTCCTCTCCCTCCCTTGCCAGGAGTTTATCGCTTTCCTCACAATGTAGATTTTCTAGATAACCTACAGTCAAATCTCGTAGATGCTGTTGCCCTCTGTTGTGGTGGTCAGATAGTCTACCATAAGCCTTTTATTTATTTTTTTGGTATTGCATGCTTTGGGTGCCATGGCAGAAAGACAACATATAAATGCAATAAACAAATGAACAAACAAACAAATAAGTGTGGTATTACAGTAAAGAGTGTGTGGATCAGGGTGCAGAATCTTTTTCAGACTGGGGGGTGGGCACATTCCCTTCTGTGCAATCAGTGATGGGTGAGGTCAGAGGCAAAACTGGTCAGAGCAACAGAAGTAAAGTTTACCTTTGTACAGTAGGCTATTATCTACACATGCTCCTATCTGTCCTTCATCTTGGCAAGCATGAGGCATTATCAGAGATCAAGGACGCATTCCAGTCAGGTGAAAACACTCAAGGAAGGTGTAAAATATGGCCAGGAAAGTTGGTATTTGTGATCTTGGGAGAGGGATGTGTGGCTGTGGAGGAGCTGTGGCCTGGTGATGGCCCTTAGGGCCAGCTAGAGATGCCCTAGGGGCCACATTTGGGCCTCAGACCTGAGTTCCTCCACCCCTAGTATCAACCAACCTCCCTCCACCCGACAGCATAAAATACTGAACAGCAGAGTTCTGTCAGTTTGTTGGTGGTCTCAGTGGAGCTTAATGACAGGAACTCCTTGGCCAGGTTTCAATCAAAATGTTTATTCGGCTTTACGCCCATCATGAAACACAACACAACAAAACAAATCAAAACAAATCAAATCAAATAAAACAGTGGACTCGTACAAGCCACAAGTAGTATAACACAGTTCTCAACTCACAAGGACAGATATTAGCCATTCATAAGAAAAGTTTAAGATTAAGATTAAAAATTTTTAGGCACTACACTAAAATCAATATCTGATGTCATTATAGAAAATTCTTATAATTATCAATAATCAGCTAACATTCCATTCCGTCTCTTGTACGAGAGGACGGCTGTTAGGAATTTAGCAACCTGTAGGGTAATATAAGAATCCACATCTTGAAGAACCCAGAGTTTCATACCTGTCGAAATCATTGTCTGTTTTTCACTCCTGTTTCTATTCTGGGAGAATCCTCTCTTGGGTAGCTTTTATAAGGAAGTTTAGTTGCTTTTGATCCTTGAATGGGAGACACATTAATGTATAAATGTACGTGAAAGTGGTAGCAGTTATATGCTATATATAAATACTTCAAAATGCCTTCCAGGTCTTGTTTATGGGTTTTCTTTTATATTTTTATATTAGAGTCATTAATAGGGGTTAACCTTCATCCCCTTGTCCCTCTCCTTTAATAATTGAAGAATCACATTCAGAGCCAAAAATGCTTTACAGGGTAATTAATTTTTGTTAGTTAAGCAGTCTATATGAATGTGATGCTAATGAAGAAGCTCTGTATGAGTATGAAAGAGATGGAGATTTCCAGGCTGGTTGCCAAGTGACTCTCTTCCATTCCTGGCTTGTCTCTTTGGCAGCATCAGTCCTGTGCCCCTGTCATTCTGTTTAGGTATGTATTCATTTTGGATTTGTATCACTGATCTGCAGGTAACAGTAAACTGACAGAAAGAAGTCACACACAGAAAGAAGGGAGAAAGAAGTAAAGGAGGGTGTTGTGTGTGTACAGTTTGCCTCTGAGATACCTTGGTTCCTTTCCTCTCCAAATCTCTACTGCCGAATTTGCCCTGGGCTTTCCCGAGATTGTGGCATATGTCTGTAGACATTGAGGAAGCCAACCTGTACCTCCCTTGCTCCACCCCTTGATTTACACCTCTCTTGGTCATACTAGAGAGTGGCAAAGAGACACAATGGAGGGCCATTGTGTGTGGTAGCCAGTTAAAATAATAAAGTTGAATAACGCATTAAAAGGACACCCTACATTTTAACCTTGCTAAGACTCTGCTCAACTAAAGTTATTTTACAGCTTTCTACCAAAATATACCATGATTCAGCTACCAGTAAATCTTCAGGGAACAAAATTTTGTAACTAGCTGCGGGTTACAAAAGAAACTTTTGGATAATCATGGAGGTCAGAGGGTAGTGGTTTCTTAGATATGTTTGGTACATGAACCATGTTATGGGATTTACCACCAATAGACTTTTGTAAGGGTAGGCATAGGGATCTTGTATGTGGCATTTCTGAACATTTGTTGTAGACCAGGCTTCCTCAAACTTGGCCCTCGAGATGTTTTTGGCCTACAATTCCCATGATCCCTAGCTAGCAGGACCAGTGGTCAGGAATGATGGGAATTGTAGTCTCAAAACATCTGGAGGGCCGGGTTTGAGGAAGCCTTTTCCTCACATTGCTTGGTGGGCCTCTGGCCCAGCTAACTGCAGCATTGTGATGCTAGCATTGTGATGTCACACAGGCTGTGTCTTGGGCTCTGCCACTAACCTTGAGTTAGTAGTCTACAGCCTATGGCAGACAGAAGTTTGCTCAAAAATATGCCTGTGCTTTACTCCAGAAGTTCAGTATGCTGTCAGTGGCTGTTCAAAACATCAGATTGTGCTTTGGAACCGGGTAAGGCTGGCTGATACTGGGCATCTGCTCATGCCTAGAAGAGTGTTCCCTTTTTGTTTTTCTGCTTGCTTTCTAGAAGTTACATTCTGTTTCTTTGGTTCTTTCATTCCACGCCCCTTCACTCAATTCATGGAGTTTCTATTATGTGCGCACAGCAGCAGAGAGCTGGTGCTGGGATGCGAGATTTGGAGAGTGTTAATATGATTGGTTGATTCAAACTGATATTTATTATTTTATTGTAATTGGAAGATTTCACCGTGTAGGACAATGTCCTGTCTGAGTGGCTTATAAAATTAAAAAATAATTCCACATCGAACTACGTAGCAGGTGTTTAGGTGTTTGTCATTATTATGTTGAGTATTGGTAAGCAGTAAATGAAAGCAGCACCAAAAACTGAAACGGGTCAAAAACAGGGGTCAGTAAGCCCCTGTTGACTCAAGCCTGTTAGCAAAGCATGATCAAAACAAAAGGGGGGGGAGTGTATTTGCTCCTTTCAGAAAGGTGTAAGGTCAAATCACCCATAGCTTGCTTTCTTTCTGCGATATTTTCATGGTCAGATATATTTTTCAGCCCTCGCTCTCTGGGCTTTTCTCAGTGCCCAGTATAATATGTTTATCATTAGGCTCTGGTAGTCGTTCCCCTCGTAACCCATTATTCCTCTTTTTAGTGGCCATCTAGTGGTCAGAGTTCACTTTTGCTCTTACCACAAAGCACTTCATAAAGATAGATGTATGTATCAGTCTCATCATCTGACTCTCTGCCTTGACAATTGTAGGCTGACTCATCTTCTGCCACAATGGATATGCTGTTCGGACGCCGGAAAACCCCGGAAGAGATGCTCCGGCAAAACCAACGGGCTCTGAACCGTGCCATGCGAGAGCTGGACCGAGAACGGCAGAAGTTGGAAACCCAAGAGAAGAAAATAATTGCTGACATCAAGAAGATGGCTAAACAGGGGCAGATGGTGAGCTTGGAAGTGCAGATGTGCCATTGGAGGGCAACCCTTATCTCCATCTCTAACTTGTTTCTCTAACCCCAGGATGCAGTGAAGATCATGGCGAAAGACCTGGTGAGGACAAGGCGCTACGTCAAGAAGTTCATCATGATGCGGGCTAACATCCAGGCAGTGTCCCTCAAGATACAGACCCTCAAGTCTAACAACTCCATGGCTCAAGCAATGAAAGGTGTCACCAAAGCCATGGCTACTATGAACAGACAGGTGGGTTGTCTCCAAGCCAGTCCAGCTAGGAGTCTGCAGTGCTAAGAGAGATAGAGAAAGTCCACTTGAGGGGGCATAGCCAGCTTCTGGAGCACCTTCTTTGCATGCAGAAGGTGCCATGTTCCATCTTTGGGTATTTCCAGAATAAAGGATCCCAGGTAGCAGAGGATGGGAAAGGCCTCTCTTCCTGAGACCCCTGGGAGCTGCTGACAGAGTAGACAATATTTGGACTATATGGACAAATAGTCTGGCCTGAGAAAAGACAGCTCCCTGTTTCTTGCAACAGGATGTGCAGTAAGACAGACTTTCTTAAAATGGGGTGTCCTTGGTGGACACATGATGGGAGGATGTCAAGGGTGAGAATCGGCTGTGGGTGCCTAGCAGAAAACAACAAGTGGAAAGGCCTTTTTCAAAAGCTCCTGAATCGTCAAAGGATGGGAAAAGATGTTTCTAATGACCTAGACGGGGCACAGTTCTTCTTTCCTCAGTTTCCTTAGCTTACTTCTCCCAGACAACAACAGCATCTGGAGCAGTTGACTTGCTTGCACTAAGGGAGGATTCACAGACTGGATGTAAGGAGTTCTGGGCTGTTTATTCTGTTGTCTCTAATTATTGCTTCTTTAGAAATGAAAATTCAACCTGCCTCTTTCTTGGTAAGACAGCTTTCCATGTTTAGTGATGTGATTGTGCTCCTACAAGTTCTTAAACCTACTACGGCTTCCACCTGTGTGGAAGACAGATGACTGCCTCTGTCTCTTTCTGGGATGCTGTAACAACAGGCTTCATGGGTTTCTTTCAGCTCAAGTTGCCGCAAATCCAGAAGATCATGATGGAGTTTGAGAAACAGTCAGAGATCATGGACATGAAGGAGGAGATGATGAATGATGCCATTGATGATGCCATGGGAGATGAAGAAGATGAAGAAGAAAGGTGTGTATACGATGGGGGACAGTTATGGGTCCATAAGCAAAGACAGTGGGGAGTGGGCGCCTCTGTGTCCCCATTGCTGCTTAGCTCTTAACTTCTGTAGGTAGCTTAGGTTTTGGAATGACGCTTCTCATTGGTCACATGAAGGCAGCAGCTTCCACACCAGTATTCCTGCTAAACTTCTATGAAATCTGGGCTTGCCCACTCTGATTTCTTGATGAGGTTCCTGCATAGGGTGTGTGCATGTGGTAATTGAGAGAGAGGCTATTAGTGTTGCTGCTGCCACCATCATTGAATGGTGAGCATTGAATCGAACAACAGAATGAGTTTGAGATCATTCAGGTCATCTGTGGCATGTTAATCAAATGGAGAAGGAAGTGGGGATGAGTCTACTTGTCTTTCTCCTTCTGTTTCATTTCTGGCCATCGTCAGTTAGAGGGCAACTGTTTTACTTTGTGCATTCTAGAACTCTGTTTTCTATTCTAGAAGCCGTGCATTCTAGAACTCTGGTTTTCTATTGTGTAGGTTTCTTATGAGTTCTAGAACCCTGATTTTCCAAGGTTCTGAAATGCATGAGGTGTCTGCCTGAGTAGAGAGGGCTCTGTACTAGAGCAGTCACCCTCTAGCTTGTGGAGGACCACTGTGAATGTAACAGAGTTGTACCCCTGGTTGCACCCTTGCTTCCTTCTCCACGACATCATCACTTGAAGGGCAAGCTCCTCAATAGGGATATTATCCATGAGAAATATATACTCTTTGCCCATCTGTGCATGCACACACAAATTTATTGTATGCTTGTATATTTGTGTGCGTAGCTGAGCAATACTCAAATGCAAGGGACATGGGCTGACTGCGGATAAGACATTTGAGGGTGGTTGGGAGCAGCAGAATCCCAGCTGCTGTATCCCTCCTACCTCTGTTCATAGCACAACAAGTGGAGCCCTGTTCATAATGAAACAAAATACCTAAGTTCACCCAAAATTTCACCAACAGTTGCTCCAGGGGGCAGGGCAGATAGGGGAGCAGGGCGAACAGGATGTGTAGACACAGATGCATCTTGAGGTCTCATGTTCTCTTACCCTTCCATTCACAGTGACGCTGTTGTCTCCCAGGTGCTGGATGAGTTAGGTCTGACGCTGACGGATGAGCTATCCAGTGAGTATCTGTGCATAGTGAACATAGGAGTGGAAGGAACAGTTTGGCAAAGGCAAGAGGCCACAACTCACATTGCCCTTGCAGACCAGTGCAGTTCCACATGCTGGTAGGCACAAGTTCTGGTAGGCAGGGATACTAAGTCTGAGCAAGCAGAAACTGGACTGTTGTGAAATTTCTCTTGTTTAGCCCAGTAAGATTTCAAGCCTCATTATTTACCTCTTAAATCATGGATGGGTAACCTCTTTCCCTCCAGATACAGGGATGGTGGGTGTTGTAGTTCAACAACAACAACAGTTTTATTATATATATGCCACCCCTCAGACTGCGTTGCCCTGGCCACTCTGGGCAGCTCCCAACAAAATATTAAAAACAATAAAACATCACACATTAAAAACTTGATATACAGGGCTGCAATACCTAGAGGGCTGCAAGTTCCCCATCCCTGCCTTAAAAGCGACACAGACTGAAACATAGTAAGGAAATGAAACAATGTACATTAGAAACGAAAGAAGGTAAAGGTTAAGGACTTAAGAGTCTTTAACACCCTCCAGGTGTTGTTGAGCCGCACCATAAATTAAAAGCCACTTATACAACCTTAGCTTCCCCCAATGAATCCTGGGAACTGTAGTTTAAGGCTGCCCTGACAACTCTCCATACTTTTACGAACTACAGTTCTCAGGATCCTTTGGAGGAAGCCCTGATTGTTAAAGTGGTAGAAGAGGTAATGTATGGAGTGGTTGTGACCTACATCTCTTTCATGCATATATAGTTCTACCCACTGCCCAGGGTCTTTACTGGGTGTGGGGTGGGTGCTAAGGGTGTGGTGAGAACTGGGGGAAGGGCGGGGAATGGCGTCCCTTCTGCCACCTCAGACTTTCCTCTTCTCCCTTCCAGACTTGCCTTCGACCGGCGGTTCTCTGAGCGTGGCGGCAGGGAAGAAAGCCGAAGCCTCCTCTGCAGCTCTTGCCGATGCAGATGCTGACCTGGAGGAGCGCCTCAAGAACCTGCGGCGGGACTAGCGGGCATGGAGCTTGGCTCTCCTCCCTCTGCCATCGCCTGGCTCTTTGAAACCCTCCTGGCGTTGGGATGATTTCTGCTGCGGCAGGGAGCAGGGCGTCACGGGCTCCTGAGGGGTGTGGGTGTGGGCAGCATGAGGGGTGGGAAAGGGTTCCATGGAGCTGTGTAGTGCTCTTGCTCCCCCCTCCCTTTCCTTTTTTTTAAAAAAAAGGACTTTAAGCATCACTAGGCGAGGTCGTGGAGGCAAAGGGTTTTCTTTTTCCTGTATCTTGTCAGTGCCTCCATTCCACAAGCCTGGGTGGTTTGGAGACTCGGGCGAGCTCTCTTCTGAATGGTGGGGGAAAGTGTGTTTGACATCCCCTACTGTAACCCCTGCCCAGACCCTGATAATAATCCCCCCCCTTGGTGGTGACAGTGAGACGAGAAGAGAAGCACCAGGCAGCACCTTGGCTGATAACCTCCTGCTCCCGCGAACGGGGAGAGAGACACTCCGGCACTTTTCCTGGCTTAAAAGCTTTATATACAGCCCTGCTCCCTGGCGTCAGGTGGGCGTTGCCATTGCGTCTGTCTGTCTCTTGTAATAAAGGTTGTAGATTTGTATTGAACGTTCCTGTGGCGTCTGCTCTTGCTCCCATGGTGGAGTGTCAGAGCTGGGAGGCCCAATAGTCTCGGTCAGGCATAGGCAAACTCGGCCCTCCAGATGTTTTGAGACTACAATTCCCACCATCCCTGGCCACCGGTCCTATTAGCTAAGGATGGTGGGAGTTGTAGTCCCAAAACATCTGGAGGGCCGAGTTTGCCTATGCCTGGTCTTGGCACTGCTGTTGGTGTGTTATCTGGCTTTCTGACACAACCCATGACTTTTGGAGAAGTGTACATAGGTGTTGCATGCAGGGGATTATTGTAGGTTTTAGGTGCAGGCGTAGAGAGTTTTGGCCCTCCAGGTGTTGTTGAGCCACAGCTCCCATCAGCCCTAGCAAGGAGGGCCAGTGGCTGGGATGATGGGAGTTATAGTTTGGCAACATCTGGAAGGTGAAAGGTTCCTTGCCCCTGGTTTAGTGTGTTGGCTATGTTTGCTTGCCTCTTAAACATGACCACAGGCGCTGGCTGTGGAGCAGCCGCCAAGTTCCACTCTACCCAGCCTGCCCATCACCTTGAAATTCTCAGAATGGACAACTTGAGTTGAAATGCAGCACTCTTGAATGTTTAGCAGGGCCTTGTGCCACCAACTTCAGCTATGGTGTGACTGGAATATTGTGGCACCCTGATTGTCTTTCGAATTGGAGAGGCTGGAAAGTATTCTGCAAACATGAAAATTGGCAAGAGGCAACTAAGAAGAAAAGCCTGGACGTCACAAAGCTTTTGGAGCAATCCTGAGTGTGGGTCTGGATCAGATAGGGCCGGTTTCTGACTTGTCTGATTTGTGTTTGTAGTGTACCTGCCTTACGTCT